TGTGCCGTACAATATCCGGCAGCGGAACAGAGACTATTATTTTGGCACTACGTGTCACGCACGCACTGAATTCAGCGGTACTATAAATAAGATACGCCAGACAGATATAGAACTGAACGGTTCGTCCTTCTTGGAGGCATGTCATGTAGCACCGCTGCATCCACCCTCTGGGCCACGAAGGATAGTATAGAGAGAAAGATCGTGGCGAAAGTGGCGCATGGCGCTTGGATACGTGCGAATGCTGGATCGTCTCCAAAAATAGCAAACTGTCTCCGAGCAGATTCCATGGCTATCCTAGGCTTTGACCACCGCGAGCACGACCAATAGTTTGTGGTTTTGCCACGAAGGGGGTATGTATCTAGCAACTGATGGAATTCTGGATAAGTGAAGGGAGAGAGCTGGAATATTTCTCTTTGTCAATGTTACATATTCAAACCAATTACTTTTTGGAAGAGAGAAAGGAACGAAAGAAATTGTTTTGGGAGCGTCCTGGGCCCTTCGAAACTGAAACGGGTTTTTAAGCTCACATATTTGATCTTAATATGACAGTACTGCATGGATACTAGTAGTTACGCAGCGTAAAACATGAGTATTTAGGCATTTATTTAAGTGTGGCACCAGCGTGCTGTCATTGCTCGATGTGTTTTGGATTGCTTTTATCTTTGTTACTAGAACTTACAAAAACATGAGCTGTATTATGCGAGGCAAAGTAGCACTGTCTATGACTATGACTATATTATCACAAAGGTTTCATGACATAACGGATCTGTAACAAAGCTCAGATTACCCCTCTCCAGCCACAATAAAAACAAATTACTCCATCTGGAAAAAAATTGTCCGAGGATGAAGCTCGAGACGATGTAACGGTAATCCAATTCCAAGTCACTCTAACATAGAATACTAAAATATAAAAACAACATGAAAAGATAAGATGTGCGCCAAACGGATGATGTATATATGTATGTATGTACAGGATAACGGGCATGACAGACATTATATGAAGAAAATGAAAAGTGGAAAGTGAAACACGAACTGTGAAAATATATGTGCATAGCAAAACGGAGGGAAAACGAAGGACGAAAGATATCTAGATCTACATGTTAAGCAAACTCAATTTCCTCCGAAGTGGACTGCTTGAACCAGGGCTTTCTCCATCCTCGCTTGGGCCCAGCCCGCTATCAGTCCCCGCCCCGAACGGTGTGTCGGAGTCTGGGTCGATATCCCATTGCTCTTCCTCATCTTCGTCGCCAGCAGTGTTGAGGTCCCCATCGGCAGGATCGTTCCATGCCTTTTGGACAGCACCACGAACATTCCAGCGCAGTGCACGGCGGACGCTCTCAAACCATTCCCCTGAGCCGGCCACTACAGTGGGAAATGGGTACTGACTTGCTTCCACTGTGACGTAGTCACCTTGACGAAGCTCTATACGGCCTTTCCCATCGAAAGAGCAGTATGCAGTAGATCGAGACGCGTTAGGAACAGCAATGCGTAATAGTAGGGCATCTGAGAGGACCATGGGGCGGAAAGAAAGGGTATGTGGACAAATGGGGGTAAGAAGGATTCCAGGAATTGAAGGATGGACAAGAGAGCCCCCCGCCGAGAGAGAATACGCGGTAGAACCTGTGGATAGTAAAATTAATTTTCTGTTATAGTAGAAGTGGAATTAGATGTTAAAGAGGTAGCTTACCTGTGGGGGTAGAGAATATACAGCCATCTGCCTGGACCACTGTTAACAGCTCGTTGTCACCATATAGCTCTAAGTTTGAGACATAAGGTGAAGGCCCACGATCAATGACCAGTTCATTTACAACTTCGAACTGCTCGCCTTCCACAACTGCTCCAGGCAGATGTCCAGGTCTTCGATCCGCACGGTAGACGGTGCATGTAAATCTCATCCGCAGATTTACACGCATGCCCACGTCGCCCATGATTTGATTGAGGTGTTCTTTGTACTTTTCGAACTCAAAATTCGTCAAGAATCCCAAGCTCCCGAGCGCAAAAGATAGCACAGGTGGTACAACGCGTTGAAAAAGCCAAGAGGTATATAGGACAGTCCCGTCCCCGCCCAGAGTAAGGACCAGATCGAATGTTTCCGGCGACGACCAGCAAAGGTCAGGTGTCCAGTACTTTAGCATGTGCTTAAACCGGGGCTCTTTCGCTAGCAGGCCAGGAGCGTCAAAGCGTTTCGAGTGCTGTAACTTGTGGTCGACATAGACGTTTACACCTAAGTCACTACCGTATCGCGGAGCGCTCAGTAACCATTCTGACAGCTCCCGCGTGAGGTACACTAGGCGATTATCCCGCGCCTTCGTAACAATCATGACATTCTTGACAGCCAGTTTGATAGGGCGCCGTTGCAATTGTTTCGACACCTCTCGAACACCGGTCGCAGTTTGCATCACCCTTGAAGGCGACATCCACTCGTCTGCAGCAATCTCCTCCACCCTTAGTAGCTATGTTGACGGCATCATCGAATCGCTG